CAGAATGTGAAACTAATATTTTTGTGTTAGGCAAGATTAGAAAGACTCACCTTAGATGCTTTGGTCACATTAATCTGTCATCTTAGGAGAGTGAATATTTTAGATTTGATTTATGTTAAGAAAAATGAAGGTAGACTTAAAAAGAATTGGGCATGCTTTATGAGTAAGTGGGAGTTGACGGGCTCCACTTTGGAGAAATATTCCATAATAATATAAAACCATCCCACCAAGCTTCTTTGTTTGGAAGTGGGAGTTGACTGGCTTTCTCAAAGGAAGACGCGTGCATGGCGTGAAGAGCTTGGAGCTAACCCTTTGGAGAAAAAAAAAAAAGAATCATTTTATATCGCACAGCATATATTTATGATAATTGCTATAGTGCTTTATTAGCTGGAGTGATCACGAGGAGGGCGAAAAGACCGAGGAAGAGCGACCTGATTAGTAGGACATAATTAATCGCTCTCTCCCAATTGGGTTTTGGCACGGCACGCACGCCTTAGTTTCTGTTAGTTCACGACTTCATTGGCTCCTCAAGGTAATCAAAACAAATATAAAACTGGATTGCGAATTTGTCCACTATATTCGCCTGAGTTTAACGAAGCCGTCAGGATAGACTATCTGCATGCCCACGATTTAGTAAATCGGAATTTACATTTAAAAGCAGAGGAGATTTGGCTGAATTTATATCAAATTTGAACATAAATCCGATTAAAAATGTGCTATTAGACACCCCTATCGGAACTACTCGCTTAATCATTCAAGTGAAATGGCTCGAATAAATTGGAAGTAGTTAGCACGTGGATGGCTGTCATCCGACAAGACTGACTCATTTTGCATCAATTGTTATTGTTTATCTATGTAATTTTTTTTTTTATTAATTGTAACCATTTTGGTAGCGGTAAGTTCTAATCTAAGGTGGGTGTTTGACTGCAATTAGGATTTAAGTTAAATAGAATTTATTAATCAGAATTTATCAAATTCGGTCAGGTTAAATTGAGTTAAATTTGTTTGACTTGTTTAACATAATTAAGTTTGTTGTGTTTTCTTTCTAAACTAATTCTGTTAAATCCAGTTAGTAGTCAGATTTAATTTATGTGGATTTACGTACAGAGATAAAAATGGATTCAGCATAGCACCAGAATTAGATACGCTATTTTTCACGTTTGACTAGATTTACCTTAAATCTCAAAATAAATCATGTGAACATGGTGCTACCAGAGACCCCCTCGATACACCATCAGCAAAATTCCATTATGCGACACGAATTTCGATGCATAGCACGGATCTCGAGACAATTTTTTGAGCAAAGAATGTTCAAATTTAAATCAAAGGTCATCTGAAGCTTCAATTATAGTAAACTTATAGTCAAAATAACTAGCTCGATGAGATGAATCCAATGATTCAAAAATTAGTCTAATCTGAGTCAAATCAAGCCCCGATCAAGTCATTAAACCACTACTAGAAGCTTTCCAAGTATATTTAGAATATCAAACAGATGTTGAATCTCATGAGCTTATAGTCGAATTGAACTTCTCAACAAAATGAATACAACGAGTCTAATATTGCTCAATTCTGACATTATTTAGGCACTCAAATGTCCATCATACGTCATCTGATCGAGAGGAGCTCTTCGAAGGGTCCAATCATAGTGATTCATATTTTTTGTATTATATGTGTCTGAAACTCTATAAATAGAGCCCCACCCCTCTCATGAGGGAGGGAGGGAGGGAGGGAGGGAGGGAGTTGGGGGTTGGGAAGCTTGTAGTCGGAGAAAGATTTTGAAGCTTTGAGAAGAAGTTGAAGTCCATCATCACTCCTGCCACCATCGACCATCACCAACTGTTGTTGACCACCACTTACCGGCCATCGCTGATTATTATCGGCCGCCACCCGTTCCTTTCAACAAGTTCATCCGTGCACCGACTTTGTAGCTCGAAAAATCGTATATCAATTTCCCTCCTGTGGGACAAAGCATCGCACTTGTAATATCCAGTTTATAGTGATTCTCTTTAGCTGAATCAGACCCTATGATTTTTTTTCCTATTTCAAGGGTTTTCCACATAAAAAACTTTTTGTCTCTATTGGTTGTTTTATTTATTCTTAGTCTACTCTGGATTCTTGTGCATGTTGTGATATTTAGGGCGAAGAAAACACATAATCGACACAAAACCAAAAGAAGAACACATAGATTTAACGAGGTTTGGTCTTCGGGAGCAGAGTTGCGAATTCACTATGTCAGAAGAGTTACATACCCATAGAATTATATATCTATTTATAGATAAAACTCACATATAAATTTACAAACACGCCCTTGCTCCCCCCCCAACCCACTAATCCAAGAGACACACCTCTCCAAATCCCAGCGACTCCAAATTATATATAAGTCATACCTAACAGTGCAACCCTAAAACGACAATCCATTACTCTACCGCTGCAAATATTCTAGCACGCATTACCCCTAAATCTATAAATATAAGTTAGAGGATAAAATGATGGGATTTAGATTCTATTATCACTCGCAAACATATTTAACTTAAATGTTTTTTTTATGTATAATTAACCTAAAAATAAGTGAGTGCGTGCACATAAAAATCTATGTAGTATATTTTTTAAATTTGAATATACCTATATATTTTTCATAACTTTAAAATATAAGAAGATAATCCTTCTCTTAGAAAGTCACTCGCATTTAGATTTCTATTAAAACTCATCATTGCTATGGTTATCAACTCATTAGCCATTTCCTTCTATATCAATACTCATTATCCAATCAAGAATGACACCGTCTCTCGTCGATTTCAATGCAATTGGCTATCTCTGCTCCACTGTTCCCATTGATTTCGATTGGGTCTTCATTACACTTGACTTCTCAACTAATAAATGCTATTTTTTTAGCAATGAACTAATTTTTTTTAGACATCTTTCATAACACCACACAATTGATTGGCTCATCATCATGAGCTAGTGCATATATCATCTGCTTGCCATTGATGGATCCTCGGCAACACTCTAATAGGTTTCCTCTCTCATTTAAGAAACATATAAAGTCTTACTTCCTCTCTCATTTAAGAAACATATAAAGTCTTACTCCTCACTTGCCAGCCCTACACTCATTAAATTCTACAAATGGCAACCTCATAAATTTTATATCTTTTGTTGTCATATTTTTGTTGGCTTCGATTCAACTAAGCTTATGATTCATAAGTTGATAGCATAGACTTAGGTGCCCTAGAAGCATCGGATCAGCAACCCTTACGCTCAACTTACTTCAAAATCAACTAATAAATATTGATACATGCTCATAAGTCTGGTAAAATATATTTTGTTTATTGCCAAGTAGATGTTATGTGCCATTTGTTCCTGATAACTAGCTACTAGCATCCTTATGCAACTTTTATGTAGTTACGAAGTACCTTGGAGAAACTAATAGGATTCTTATGCTCTCATTATTAACTTGTCTTGCATAAAACTTTGTAATGGATCATTCTATTCTTGAAATTAAACTTTTGAAAGCATATATGAATCTTGCTCCTCTCATTTGTCCTTCACTAAGAGGTTCCACTTTATCAGGTGAAGTTTTGCTTCTATGTAACGTTCATTTTACTCCTTAGTGTAATTGTCTCACCCTCATTTGGAATTCTTGTCAATAAAAATTTTGCCTTCAATTGCCTCATTTTGTTTGTTCGATTCAAATAACTTGATGGCTTATAAGTTGATGTTTTAGAGGTAGACACTCTATGCTCATTAGCCTTACAACATCTCTATTTAATCACTTAAAAATAAAAAAAATTAAATGTTATTGCCTCAATCGTAAGTTTAATAAAGCATTATTCATTTGGCACCAATTAGGAGATGACTCATGTCTTTGTTACTTGATAAATAACTATTAAATGATGATTAAAAGCATCCTTTTTTAACTTCATGTACTTACATGGTACCCTAGAAGAACTAATAGGATTCATATATATATATATTCCCCCTATTAATGCATCTTAGCCAAGATTTTATAAGGAATGAATCATGACATCGTAAGGCAAGAACTTCCCCTCCTCTTATTCCCCTAGTCATTCATCACTTTTCTATATGATAAAGTAGACCTACCATGTAGCATGCATTATTTTGTCTTCTTTTGTTGTAATTCTCTTGCGCTAGTTGCACTATGAACATCAACTATAAAGCTAATCAGCATGTTAAGTATATTACATTTGCATGCTTTCATCATTGTCCGACCCTTCTTATTCATTTACGTTTCATCGACACACCTATTAGTTGTTCATCAATGCATCCTTGTTATCAAGCTCACCTCTCCCGTTCGATGAGCTATATGTCCATCTCACTTTACACAAGAACTAAAAAGCATTTCAAGCTAAAACCTACTTTCTCCATCTTTTTGAACTCCATTCCCTTTTTATACGCCACAAGACGCTTCCCAAACAACAAATTAGTTTTCATCATTCACATTCATACAAACCATAATTACATCATATTTGAATCCACAAACAGTATTTTTTATGATTCAAATTAAAAATATCTGATTTGACACAGTTTTGATAATGGAAACTATAGAATTTGGTGTCCTAAAATTAAGGGTTAATTAATTTTTTGATCTGGAGGCCACAAGTTTGACTCAAGGCGCAATTGATGTTAAAGCTCGCATAATGGAAACATCCTTCTATAAATTCCACACGATGGTTCATGTTGGCCTCTCCAATTTCTCCACGGCTTCACCAACACAGTACTGCTTACTGAGTCTGCATAGGCCTGAAGCATTAAAAAACACGTTATTCCTCCGCTTCCACTGAAAATGAAGTCCACTTTCATTGGTCTATAAAGTGACCTCCAGCCATGTGTCCTATAAGCTATATATATATATATATATATTCACACACACACACACACACACACACACACACGGAAGCTTGCCTCCTTCCTGCCTCAAACAAAAGCAACCTTGAATAACTTGCTTATATATTGTCCTCTTATTTGGGATTCACTGCTCCAAAATGGCTTCACCAAAATCACTTCTTGTGCCTCTCCTCCTCTTTTTAGTATTCTTAGTTAGTGTTACCGATGGCCGAAAGACGAGAAAGGACCTTGATCTTAACTTAGGTGGTGGAGGCGGTCTCGGTGTTGGTGTTGGTGTTGGCATTGGAATAGGTGGTGGCAGCGGGGGCTCCTCCGGATCCGGCTCCGGGTCCGGCTCGGGGTCCGGCTCCGGCTCCGGCTCCGGCTCCGGCTCCGGTTCGGGGTCCGGGTCCGGGTCCGGTTCCGGCTCTGGAGCAGGCTCATCTGTTGGCTATGGGGCTGGATCTAGTGCTGGTTCGGGCGCTGGATCGAGTGCCGGTTCTAGTGCTGGTTCTGGTGTTGGTCGTGGGTCAGGCGGTGGCGGTGGCGGTGGCGGTGGCGGCGGGGGATCGGGATATGGAGGGGGGCGTGGGCAGGGAGGTGGTTCTGGCTATGGCGAAGGATATGGTAAAGGCTATGGGGGAGGAAATGGAAAATGAAAACATCATTAGCTTATATCAAGAAGTGTTTGATCCTCACTACTTGTGTGACATAAAAATAAAGTGATTGTGGGTGGTTGTTATTGTACTGAAGTATCATACTATCTTCACAGAGTTCGTTATGAATAAAAGGTTCTCGGTTCGATACTATAGTGAAAGAACTCATGATTATTGCTGCTATTTTAATTACTATATAGTACACATTCAAATTAAAATAGGGTTATTTGCGAGAATTAAAGATTGAATGGAAGCTTTTGCAATTGCTTGAGGTGAAAATATGTTTTCCTGAGAGCATACCAGGAAGTATTATGCTTTTCTGAGTCAACAAAAAAAAGATAGCCAATTTTTCTAAAAGCTCTACCATCAAAGGAGGAATTTTCTGAGCATTCACTGCATCTTCCACTTTGGTAGATGGTCACGTGTCTTCCACTTTCCTTCTTCTAACATTTTTTTTTTAATTTTAGTTAATAATAATAATACTAAGCTGGATGTTGATGGTAGCTATTATATTTATTATGCAGGGTGAATCAAGATTATTGGAATTTTGTCATTGAAATTGTTCACTTTGTTTCAAATCAATGTGCTAAAATTCCAGCACAACTATAGCTACTGCATACCATCGAATTTCTATGAATTTACATATTTATCACCAAAAAATCAAATTTTACATATATATCATCATACCTGATGCGCGCTTGAAAATTCGTGGCGGTAGAGTAATGGATTATCATCTTAGGGTTGCACGATGATTCAACACACACTCAGATGAAAGGAAAACAACCAGTGATGACACCAGAAGTTTTAACGTGGAAAACCTGTAAAAGGAAAAAACCACGGGGTCTAGCCCGGTTATAAAAATTCACTATATGTTGATGATTACAGAGACCCCTTATTCCACAGACGGGAAAAAATTGCTATATTTTCAGATGACAAAGTCGCATGACGGTGTTCGGTTAGCAGTGTTCGACGGTGGTTGACGGCAGTCGAGGACGGTCGGCGGCGGTCGACGGAGGTCAACGGTGATCGACAGTGGTCGACGGCGGCCGACGAAGGTTGACTGAGGTCGGCGGTGGTCACTAACGGTTGGCGGCGGTCGACGACGAACGACGATGACAGAAATGATGTTGAACTTTAGCTTCTTCTCAAAACCTCAAGTTCTCTCTCCACCCTCCTCACTCATGTGAGGGTGAGACTTTATTTATAGTGTTTTGGGTACAATTAATGCAAAAATATGAAACATTTTGATGAGACGGTTTGGAGAGCTTCCCTCGATCAAGTGAAGTTTGATTGACATTTGAGCTCCTTAACGATGTCAGAATTGAGCAATCTTCGGCTCCTTGGATTTGACTTGTCGAGAAGCTCGATTCGGTTATGAACTCGCTAAATTCGACGTCCGTTTGACATTCCAAATGTGTCCGGAAATCCTCCTAGAGTGGTTTAATTAATTGATCTGGGCTTGATCTGACTCAGATTGGACTAACTTTGATATCATTAGGTCTGTCTCATCGAGTCGGTCAGTTTGACTATAAGTTTGTTAAAATCAGAGCTCTTGATGACTTTTAATAGAGATTTTAATATTTTTTGCTCAAAATATTGTCTCGAGATTCGTGTTAGATGATGAAAATTTGTTGGTGGCGTATCAATACCGATGCATAAAAAGTTTTATTTCAAATATTAAAAGTCTTAATAGCTGTATTTTTTATGTGATTTGGGTGTTATAAATGTAAAAAGTAAAGTTTAGGTGCTGGAAGTGTAAAGACAAAGAAATTGGGTGTTTTGCATGTAAATGGCCTTTTTATTATTAGGGTCAAGCAAAGTTTAACACCAAGTAACTTTGATGTATGTTCTTACAGATTGAGGGAGAGTTTTGATGTACATCATTTGATGATGTTAAAAGGTTCTAATTCCCAATTACCAATTGTAGTTCAGATTTCTGTCAGCATAAAACACTTTGAATTGAGATGAAATTGCTTTAGGTGAGACGATATCTAACTTCTCAAGAAGAAATTATTTATTTTTTAAGAACTTCCGTAAGTTTAAGAACTTCCAAGCTTACCATGACATTTTTAAGGATGAGAAACTGCTTATTGAATAATCAAACTATGTTTCTTTATCGAATAAAGCATGTAATATGAGCTTTCGACATTTGAATGTGCTAGAATGTCCACCTTATCACGCCCCTTCTCAACCCTTCATGGTAAAGCAAGAGATAAGGAAAGAGATGGATAATCTAATCAAAAACATTTCCAACCAACGCCCATTTAAACTCTTAACTAAATAAAATAAAGTAAGCGGAAAATTTATCTACCTAGATTATCACAAAGCTAAAACCACTTTTTATAACCATCCAATAAATTCACTTCAATGATTTAATATTCATTTAAATATAAGGCCTGTTTGGGACAACTGCAATTTATTAAAAAGCTGCTGAAAATAATATGTTGTTTAAAAAGTTGCGGTAATTATTATATATATATATATATTTTTTGAAAGCCAAACCGCAGTTAGAAAACTGTAACCGAGCATAGCCAATTTAGCCAAACAGTCCTGTATGTGTTTTCAAACTCACCAAACCAAACAAGCTGCCCCAAACGAGTCCATAGTTTAATATATTCTTATTCTATTTCTTATTAATAATTTTAATTGATTATAAATAGTTATAGACTTCTATTCAATTAAATTATTTAAAAAATAACTCATCAATTACATATATATATATTTTTAGACAT